TGAAATGTAGATACAGGAATACACTTGGTTCTAACAGCTTTAAAGGTATATAAACATATTCATACAGGTATAGTCTTAAGTGGCTAGTTTTGCCACAGATACCATATTGTGATCACTATTTCCCAAGTGCTCACCTACTTGAATGGTGGTCAAAAGATCAACGTTATTTGTTAAAACCGGGTCCAAACAAGCGTCCATTCTGGTTGGTGCTTGTACAAGTTGTGACATGAAGGTGTCATTTAACAAGTTTAAAAACCTAATTCCCTTTGCTGAGCTACTTGTCCCTCTGTCCTAATTTATGTCCGGGTAATTACAATCTCCAATAATTAAAGTGTTACCCAGATTTGCAGCTTTCTCAATTTGCTCAAACAGTTGTTGTTCTTTGTCAATATTAACATTAGGTATTATTGCAGCTCAGTGTATTATTATAACTCAGTGTATTATTACAACTCATTGTATTATTACAGTTCAGTATATTATAATAATTGATTGTATTATTACAGCTCATTGTATTATTACAGCTCAGTGAATTATTCTAATTTATTGTATTATTAGTGCTAAGTGTATTATTGAAGCTCAATGTAGCCCATGGAGCATCGCAGCTAGGTGGAACGGGCCTTGACAGGGCTAGGAGATATGCATAGGAGGTGTTAATATGGGGGAATGGCTCTAGAAAGTGGGGGTGGGGTTTTAGATTATGGGAGTACATATAGAGGCCATTTTAGATCAAGGGCCATCTTAATTAATCCTCACTTACCTGTTTTGGGGCAGGTCTGTGTGGTGTTTCTCAGAAGATTGGCTGGTTGGTGTGTGTGCTGCTGTTCAGCAGAGAGGGGTTGCTTGGCTCCAGGAACGATTAGGAGATGCCCTGTGTAAAGAACGCTGGTATCTCCTATACCCATTCGTCATTTTCGGGAAATAAAGTAAATGATTCTCAAGTAGATTCTCCCAGTAAAGCAGACAGGTACCCAAACATCAGCCGAAGTCTAGATGAAGGGTGTAACAGGACTAAATTTTAACACTGGCTTTTATGCAGGTCCCCATGCAAGGGGACCTCTCACATGGACCTTGTGGGTCACAGGAACATAAAATCATACAGCCAATAATAATACAGGAGAAAACTGTGACACTCCCAGTACAAACCCCTCCTCTCTACCTGGAGATAATTGAGTCTGATAAAGTGATAACTTAATTTTCTCCAGGCAGAAAATTTAAAATTTCCCCAAAACTTGAAACATACCCTAAAACATATAAAATAATATTATATAATATAAACATATAATATTCCCTCAAAAGTCGTATTCCCTGATAGCCCTGATCTGGGTGACCAACATATCCAAAAATCACCCAGATCAGTTCAGGGGTTTTCGAATTCCATGGAAGTCATAGGTGACTGGCCACACACAAGGCTCCTGCCCAAAACAGTTCCACAAGTTTTGGTGGCTTTGCTGATCTAATTCGTAAGGTCTAAAAAAAAGAATAAATGCATGAACGGCTCCCCCTGGCTCATAGTAGTGATTGTTCCCCTCGTTCGTGGGAACAAAACTACCGAACAGCAATCTCCCAGCTGTTCGGGAAAATGAAGCAGGCGTTCGTACAATGGGACCAGTGTTCGTGAAGTAGAGTGTCCGATTTTAGTTCCAGACACTCGACGACCAAGTCCCTCTGCCTCCATTCGTGCAAACAACATGGCCCACAGGGAGAGAGCTGAAATAACTGTTCTCTTTGAAGTTAATGAGCCAGGGGGGTGGTCGGTGTTCGGTAGTTACAGCTACCAAATGAAATAACATGAAATAAACAAAATAATTTGGCGATTTCTTCACACCCTGGTTCCATTTGGGCCTGCTGCTGTTGGGCCCACCGTGACGGCTGAGATAAGGCCTGGACGTCCGGCTCGGAGGACTCTGACCGCTGCAACTTCTTTGCCCTGGTGAGGGCTTCGGAGGGTGAGCCAATCGCTGCCAGCTAGGCCAGAGGCTATGAAGACTGACGGGAAGCCGGGGAGCTCCAGGGTTCATGGCCGGCTTTGCCATGTGTCTGCCTGCACTGTGAGGGTGCCTGGGAGAGAGGACGTGTCATCACATTCAGGCCGCGAAAGAACAGGATGCGAACAGGCATTGGCAGATAGTGCTGAACAGGAACAGGGGGAAGTTGGTGATTGTTCAGGAGCATGCAAACGTTCGGGCCATGAACTGCCGCTTTCGGGAGCAAGAGGCTGTTCAGGCCACGAACAAGTGATAGCTGGTGGTGAAGTGGTGAAGAGGCAAATGACGGAAGTGGCGCACGTTCGGGCCGCAACCAGGTGAATGCCGTTTCCAATGAATGGGATGGGAACACAGAGGTACAACAGAAAGCTCGCAAATTTTTGGGCCAGGCTTGGAGGAGACATTTGGGTCGCGAACAGGATGGTACGGATGTGGGTGCTGGATCGGCCCGTGAACCCAGGTTGGCGCATACGGCTGTTAGGACTGGGCAGTTATGCAGGACGTCTCAGGCGACCAGGAGTTCCACTGGCATGGCAGGCTCTGTAGCAGGTGGGAAAGGCGCTGAGAGTGCGGTTGGCCACAAGGAAGCAGCGGATGATCTCAGAATCGGTGAGTCGTCCCCCATACTGGGGTGCACAGTCTCGGGGCAGTGGGCAGGTGGGGAGTTAGTTGCACAGGCCACAGCAGGATCCCCTGCAGTGGATAGGCTGGTCTCCCTTCCCCTCTGCAGGTTACAGGAGCTTAGCATGTCCCCAGGGTTGCCTCCCAGGACACGGTCAGGGGCACCGGGGAGAGTAGGAGTAGCCAATGGAGGGCAGAAAGGACCAGAGCCAGGAAGAGGGCAGGAGGGCATCCACAAGGCACAGGACAGGTGGTCGAGCTTCTCTCCCGCACAGGTGGGCTTTCAGCGCTGCACTCAGGACAGGCACGTTGAGCCCGCAGGGGGCGCTGGCAGGCACGGGTCACATGAGAGGTCTTGGAGAGGTCACAGCGACCGAGGGCACAGCTACAGCAGGGGCTCGCCCGAGGAGCATATGCGGGGATGGACCCCTGTTAGGACGGCGGGAGTTAACCGGGGGGCTCCAGGGGACGGCCTGAAAGCAGCAGACACGGCCTCAGGGGTCAGGATGACAGGTGGGCTGGGGAAAGATCGAAAGGGTTCCGGCACGGGAGTAGGCAGGTCAGGACGCTGTTGCATGGCCTACCGACTGTTCTTTCTCATTCCAGGTCACCAAGGCGGTTGCCCATGGTGTTGGTGAAACCTCGGGAAGAGGACTTGAGAGTGGTGGATCCCGCGGTGCCGGCGGGGGCATCGTCTGTGCTAGGGGAGGAAAGGGAGGAACTGGTTGGGGGGATTCCGAACGTGGCCCGTCAAAACGTTCACGTTTCCTTCGCAGGCCCCCTGGGATGTCACCTCAAGGCTGAGGTGACGGAGCGGATTTAGAAGTAGCAATACCTGGAAATCTTTTCTCTTCTCCCTCTTGATGACTATCTAGATATGAAGGAGGAGGATAGGAAACATACTAAAAAAAGAGGAGGAGGGGAAGGGGCGGCGCTACCACAAAATTCCCCAAATCTTTGGGAATTGGCTGCGGGCGTTTTGTATCCGGGCCAGTGTCGGGGTGGGAAAAGCCCCCGATCGATGCCCTGGACGGGGTTTGGGAAGGTTATCGCACGTTTGGGGGTTTGGCGTGGTGGTGGTACGACAAGCAATTCAGGCAGCGGTGGTCGGTTAACCTGGGGATGCGGTGGGATCAAATGGACCTGCCGCTGTGGATGAAGCTCATGATGGTGCAGAAGATGTCACCCTTTCAGTCCGGGGCCGGCTCGGGTACAGCTTCCCCCTTGTCGGCCATGCACAAGAAGGGATTTTGCTGGCTGTTCAATGATAGCCAGTGCAAATGGGGGACTGCATGCCGTTACAAGCACAAATGTGGGGGCATGCATGGACTTGTTGTTTCAAGTGAGGTAAGGCGGCTTGCACAGGGGGTACACCAGGGGCAGCCGGATTATCCTCTACCACTAGGGTCGTCGCCAGTGATTTTGGTTGATTCAAGCTCATCGGCAGCTCCAAACCTGGTGTGTGTAGGGTGTATCTTGGTATACCCCTACATGTTGGAACATGGTAAATCATGCCCACGATGGCAATAGTTTAAGTGGTTAGATGTTATTTATGTTAATATATGTGAATATTGTTGTTTATGGGTGTCATTGTCAGGGTTAAATTGTTAAAAGAGTTGGGGCTGAGATGTTATGTTAGATATGTTGGCAATTACCCTTAAAATTTTATTTATGTTGTAATTATTAATAAAGCTGTGATAATTTTCCCAAACATAAGGTGTCCGAGTATCCTTGGGTTTTTGGGGGGGGTTGTTTATACCGCATATGCCAAAAATGAGACTATGCAAATGTCGTGTATTATTCTAATTTATTGTATTATTACCGATCAGTATATTATAATAGAAACACAGAATGTGACGGACCATCCGGCCCATCTAGTCTGCCCAATTTTCTAAATACATTCATTAGTCCCTAGCCTTATCTGATAGTTAGGATAGCCTTATGCGTATCCCACGCATGCTTAAACTCCTTTACTGTGTTAACCTCTACCACTTCAGCTGGAAGGCTATTCCATGCATCCACTACCCTCTCAGTAAAGTAATACTTCCTGATATTATTTTTAAACCTTTGTCCCTCTAATTTAAGACTATGTCCTCTTGTTGTGGTAGTTTTTCTTCTTTTAAATATAGTCTCCTCCTTTACTGTGTTGATTCCCTTTATATATTTAAATGTTTCTATCATATCCCCCCTGTCTCGTCTTTCCTCCAAGCTATACATGTTAAGATCCTTTAACCTTTCCTGGTAAGTTTTATCCCGCAATCCATGAACCAGTTTAGTAGCCCTTCTCTGAACCCTCTCTAAGGTATCAATATCCTTTGTGATTTAAATTTTTCTACTACAGCAAAGCAATAAATGATTGACCAAAGTCGCTGTTATTTATTTACTCATTTAAATTTTTTTAAATCAACGTCTACATTTCTGTGTTTTCCAAACAAATAATAATCATTAAGTTCTTTTTCCTTCTTTGTTCAGATTTCATGAAGCCCCTGTGACCTCCGCTGCCCACATTGAAAGCCTTGGAGGAACAGAAGGAGGCAGGGATAAATCGCGGGAAAAGCAAGATTATGTGAATGCAGAGCAATAGTGTGATCGAGGATTAGTAAAAACGCCCATTGAGAGAAGGTGATTTTATCTCTACTTATTACATGGCTAAACCCCATCGATCAATTGAAACATAACGGTGGTAACCTGAAAAGATTAAAAAAACCTGCCAGCTCTTCAAGATATTTTGATAACTTGTTGTATAAATCTTCAAGTTTTCTAATTTTTGCAATGGGAGGAGGAAGGAATTTCTTAAGCTGTTCAATGTCTTTCTTAAGGGCACGGAGGACACTTTTAATAAAAGATATAGCGTTCTGAACTGTAGTAAACGGAATGCATGTTGTGCTGATAGAAGTCGTGTCGGTGGTGGTCTCACTCGTTGTCCCGGTAGTGGCTGTGACTGCATCTGAGGGTAGAAATAAGACAGAATATAATTCATCAACAGCTAACTAATTCCTAATATTTATTTTAGTCAGGACTTATTTCTTGTTTTTGGTTTATTTTTATATTAAATATATTTTAACGTCAGCTTTCTCAAGGTGGAATGCGCCATTTTTGTGTTTGTACAGTGAAGAGTAATTATAAGAATACAAATATAATATATAATAATCATATAACGTGGTAATGATTTAAACTCACAATATGATCATAATGCAGAGACACTCACAATGTACTCACCTTATCCGGACCATCAACCCCAATCTATCACTTCGCAGAGATGGCAGATACGTTCGGCCCTCATTCAGTTTAAAATCGGTGCTTTGCGAATCCTCCGTCTCCTACACTTTGTGTTGGAATCCGTTTCAAAGCAGCGATTGTTGCCCAGACATTGAATGTTGATTGCTGCAGATTTGCTTGAGGTGGCCGAGTTAGTCTGAGAATTGCCATTGCGTTCAGGGGCCTCGATTTAAAGAGACACTATAGTCACCAGAACAACTATAGCTTATTGTAGTTGTTTTGGTGAGTATAATCATTGCCTTCAGACATTTTCATGTAAACACTGTCTTTTCAGAGAAAATGCAGTGTTTACATTGCCCCTAGGGACACCTCCAAGTGGCCACTCCTCAGTTGGCCACTGGAGGTGCTTCCTGGCTCAGTGCTGCATAATAAGCAGCTCTGTCGTTCAGCGTCTCCATGATCTGCATGGGGACGCTGAATTTGCCTCATAGAGATGCATTGATTCAATGCATCTCTACGAGGAGGTGCTGATTGGCCATTGTAGCATTTGGCCACACCCCCTTGCTGATTTTAGCCAATCCAATGATTTCCCTATGGTAAAGCATTGGATTGGTAAAAATCGGCTATTCTAATGATGTCACAAAGAGGGCGGGGCCAGTGCCGGCAGTACCGTGCAGCGCTGGAAATAAGGGGAGTTTTAATTTCTTTTATGGGGGCTAAGGGGGGGCAAGCCACCTAAATGGTGGGTTTATCACATTAGGGTCAGGAGTACATATTTGTGTTCCTGACCCTATAATGATCCTTTAATATTGTTGGATACACTTTCTAAATGATTTAATTTTTTAGATAACCTTTTTAAAATTATTTAATATTATCAAAAAATATTTTAATAGTGAATTGAAAGTATAAGCGCTTAATAGATCGGTCCCATAGACAATTCTAGTGGGTTCTAATATATTAGATATATTAGCAATATTGTGCAGAGCCTATATGTCTATGCACACTTCCCCAGTGGTGTACAAGATATCTATAGAATATTAGATAGGAATATGCCAATTAACATAAATCATATAAAAAAATCTACATTTATTAAGTTTTAAAACATGGGTATTCCTAACTATTGCTGTATATAGCTGTTAACACAGTACAAATAAGTGATGATGGGTTCCAATAATCACTAGATGATGCAACAGAGTCAGAGATATAAAGAAAGTGAAGTGTTCCACTCGTTCACATTTAACGGATCCATATGTCTGGTAGGCAATAATTCGCATAAATAACTTAGACCACACAATAAACACAGACATCGTTCATTTTATTTCAATGGGCTTGGCCGTGGTGTTTATTAAAGCTTGAAAATGGGGCATACCACCAGTAACTTGATAACGGTAACATATTCAGGTAAACTTTTCACTTAACTTCAACTTTTACTTTCACCATCACTTAGTGCCAGTCAGTCATAGCTAACCTGACCGCCTTATAAATACAACCATTTAACACATATCCTTCCTCAGAACTTGAACCTGAGGATGACTTTTGCCCCACCGCCTCAGCTGGGGTAGGACTATCCCAGCTGAGGCCCCCACAGCCAAGGCCCTTTTTTCAATCATGTTTTAGATCCAGATTAAAATATCCGGACCGATATAGCACAAATGAACCTGGCCTTCATTAAAAAGGCCCTGTTCATTCTGATCTCATTTGCAATGTCTGTGTGAAAAAACTCTGCCAATCGTGGCTAATCTTGACCTTGCCAAATTCAACTTACCACTCACTCTTCTCAGCACTTTTAACTCTTGGTTCACTTAACCATCACCACCACTGGACCACCTCTGACCAAACTAGAATGGTGTGAGGAAATATTTTTTCCAATACCAAACAAACATTTTCTTTACCTTACGTGATAGCTGCGCGGGTTTAACCACACCTATATCATTGCCACCATATGAAATGTTAAAACAGCTGGAGCAGGCCAAGACCAACACTTTAATATGAGTTCCATTAACTGGTGAAATTGTAGCCCACCTACACCTTTCCTATATATTGTGCCGCCATCTCGATTGAAGTCCAAATTCGATCCAGAAATTCCTGCTCCTGCCCTTACCTGGCCTGCTTTACAAAAGAATGACCCATAACCCAAACATTTGTTATGGTACCTGAGGAAATAATAATAACAGAGTGAAAGGATGAAAACAAACATTGCATCATGTCATTCCAGAAATATAACTTAAAACAATTTGAATCCTGCCCCCAATTCCTTTTATAGCCTCTGCTCCAAAACCTTGTATGTACGTAGTGGGGAATTGCGATGCAGCCTATAACAAAACTAACCCCATTCAACCCCCCAATAATGACAGACCACTTAGTATGGATGAACAGGCCACAGCATTTATTATCACAAACTAAATTACTGCATAACACATCCATAACTTTATTTATTAAATCTCTTCTTTTCTGTAACCAAAACGTTAGACATAAATAAGCATAAATTAACATATATACATATATAACTCCACCCATAGTGTTATACAGTGACCCAACCGTCCTTGCCAATAAACATACAGTGGTTCCTAATCACCACTTCCTCTCACCTCCCCCCTCGTCATAAAAATCATATCTTTCCAATGCCCGCCATCAGCCGACCTTATCCACGCTCGATGGGCACGACACCTCAGGCAACCTAATGTTAACCTTTTGAAGCAGGGGAGGTTGAGACCTTAAAAACTTGTTCATCTCATTCCATATACTTAAACGTAACCCCTCAAACTCAATTGGCAAGGACATACCCCCGCCACAACCACGCTGTTTTACACCTAAAATCAGCGGGGGACCCCACCACAACCAGCCATGGCCTGTTCCACCACTGCTAGCAGTGCCAGATCAACATAGAATAAGTACTGCACCAGGAAATTAAATGACCATTCGTGATCAATCCAATAACACAACATAGCGCAAAATATATACATACATATATACATACATATACATAATGTTAGACTCCTTATGTAGCGTAAAACTCACAGGATTTAAAGCCGTCCCAGGCTCTATATAATGTGCAGGAGGGTGCCTAAAAAGGCTAAACGATATCCTTGAGGAGAGCAGCACAGGATACAAAGTGCAGACTCCAAAATTTATTGCACAAATAAACAATTAAAACAGGGACAATATGCAGTGAATAAATAGTAAAATATACTAGGCACAAAGCCTAAATAAAACACCGCAGAGGAAACAAGAAAAAATACCAGATACAATCCTTTGATATAGCAGCAATCGCGTTTCATCTCCAGCCGGAGTCGTCCTCAGTGCACCATCAACATAGGCCTCATCCGACCTCCAGCAAGCGCACCCATCCCCTCGAGATAACTAGGCCACATCCGGCCACACCCCAAGGTGAACTGGAATCCCCCAAGCCAAAACAAGAAACCCACCTCGACCGATTCCCGACTGCAGCGCACCAGGGCACTCACATTGCTGAGCGCACTGCCAACAGGAACAGGTGATAGCCTCAGCCCGGCCCCCTGAGAACCTCTGGTAAGACACAGAATGTGTAACATGTCCAGATTCCAGAGCACCCTCAGATTGAAGAGCACCCCATACAACACCGAACCCATATCAATCCACCCAGAGATGACAAAAAACCCCTGGTACGTCCAAGAGGCGGGACAGCCGACCCCGTACGAGGAGGACCACACCCCCACCATGTAACTGGTGCCAGACCACTGAACCTCCCTTTCCGGGGGGGGGGGGGGGCCGTAACCACGGTGAGAAATCCATTCGGAGACCAGCAGGGTGAACCTGAAGGAACCACCACCCTGACTCCCAAAATTCGAGCCCCTGAACCATTGGCGCAGGCACGCCAAGCCTGGTGGCGACCGTAGCCATCCCAAACCAGAATAAATGCCCCTCGAACACCCCACCAACTTTCAGGCAATTGATGGAAACCTGCAGTGCCTCCGATCAGAACGGAATTTGTCAGGCCATCCTGGGAACCCGTTACACCGTGTTAGGAGCCCAACCATTACCCCGTGCATTCCATCTACCTTAGGAGAAAGCGGAAAAGCCAGGGCACGTCGACCCCTAAACATCCAAGAATCGCACAGATTCCATCGACGCATCAGCCACACCGCAACTGACTTACCCGTCCCAACGACAACAGCAGTCGAGCGGCGAAACCTGAAATAAGTCCGTCCACCAAAACACCCCACCACTTGCCGACAACTGTAACCTGAACAGGAAGCCGAGCCCTGCCAATCACAGAAATAAAGACGGTACCAAACATGTAGATGAGCAGTCCACTCCCGGAACCTACAAGGAAACGTCCCCATCCGTCCCGATCACTCCCACCATACTGGAGTGGGCCCCACGCCGCCTCATAGGGCGACCCACGGACCAGCTTCATCAGACCGTTGGACCAGGCGACCACCTCCACTGCCCTAACATCGACCCCGTGACACCTCCGACCGAAGTATGCCCAATAATGACCAAGACAGAGTGTCGGCCACCACATCGGGAATACCCGGACACAAAAACCTAAGACCAGCCGCCCTAGATTCAACAGCGCCAAGCCAGGCGCTGCCACCAGAGTAACCCTGGGGTAAAGTGTACTGTTACATGACAAGACAGCCCGCACTGCCCCACGATGGTCCCAAAGGAAAACCCCACCTACCTGTTCTAGAGCCGGGCACCCCATGCCTACCATGCCACCAGAAAGGGGAAGCTCCAAGAACCCCAAAGTCCGCCAGAAAACCGATCCTTGCCAGTGTAATGGGCAAGAGTCAGCACACCATTGAGAGCCCAAATTGGCCCAAAACCCCCCAAAACCTACGGATATAGCCTGGGCCACGGAACTCCGAAACTCATAAAACTACCCCAGGAAAAACACTGTAGCAGCAGAGTGCGGACATGCTGCACCGACGGCCCTACGCATAAATGACATCGGGAGCAACCTACATGAAGGCACAGAACCACCCAATCCTGACCGTCGGGAACACAACCTGGAAACAATAAACCCGACGGGCGTACCGGCAGCAGCCGTAAAACTGATTCCACAGCCGCCTTTGTCAGCAAGGCCCTGCAACCCCACCCACGCAGCCCGCTGCGCCGAGCCATCATCCCAAACCTAGCCCCTGGAAGGAAACGACAACTGAGCAAATAAGTAATCTGGAGATACTAACCCTGCTCCTCCTCCTTGGGCACCACAGCGAACTCCAGGGGTACCCTAAACGACTGGGAAGTAAACTTATAAGCGTGCTTGGTAAACTGGACCCACATCACCCGATGGAGCTCCCACATAAACTGAGGGTCCCCATCCCGACCGATTGCAGAGAGGAAGGAAAAACACGCTATGCTGAGGGGCTAGGTGAGCCCCAAAGAAAACCAGCGGCAAAACCCATCCGGCCCCAGGCCAAGAAGGGTCGCACTGCCAACCGTTGATGAAAGTGCAAAACGTACCTCCACCAACCCAGCTTATCACAGGGACGATACGTGTCCCGAGAGTGTCCTGACCGCTGAAACATGCAGCGCCGACTCGGGGAGCCCTGTCCGATATGTGCCCTGGATATGTGCTCCCCACGACCATCCCTGAACCCCTAATGTCCCCCTTAGTCAAGGGACCCCCGTGGCAGGAGGGAACAGCTTTCGATACAAAACCCCATTCTCCATCCGCTCCCTAGCGTTACGCGCAAGCCAAGCGGGCCACATGAGCTCAGCAGCCCAGAGTCACGTGAACCTGGGAGGCATCGCCGGCGCTATCAGCTGCGCCAGACGCTGCGGGAAAGCATACCTAAATGTATAATACATACAGAAAAAGGAAAGGGGGTACCCAAATTTTATTTTATTGTGGATTCCCCATATATATACATACACAGTTTTTTTTTTTTTTTTTTTTTTTTTTTTTTTTTTTTTTTTTTTTTTTTTTTTTTTTTTTTTTTTTTTTTTTTTTTAAATTGAATTCTACCCCTGCACTTGACGTAGGATTCTTTATTTTTTTATTTTTTTTATTAGTCCAATAGGTAATTTACCTTGTATTTCTGTCCTGTAATTTTTTCCCCTGTCTGCATCAATTTTTTTTTTGTTTTTTTTCTAGGAAGAAAGGAAGAAAGAACGTACGCACGCGAAGCGCTAAAAGTAGGGAAATGTACTCACCGGACGCAGCCTGGCGATCCAAGCCCAGCACTGCGCTCACAGAAGGCTGAGGCAAAGAAACAGCAGTTCCAGCATCCACAGAGGACATCAGCTGTGATCCAGACGCCACCTGCTGGACGGATCCACGAACTGCAGCAGCATGCTGAGAAGGGAGCAGCCGAGAAGATGAGCCCACGCCCCAGAGGAGATGGCCGGGAGTGAAAGTGAGGAGGGGGGAGAGGGAGAGGATTTTTTATAT